AAAAGACCCAAAAAGAATGAAGAGGCATTTAGGGAAATGCAGGACAACCTGAAATGTAATAATATCCATACAATAGGGAGAACAGAAGGAGAAGAGGAGCAAGGGCTAGAGAACCCGAAAAAGTAATGATGGAAAACTTTCCTAATTTAATGAGGGCAAAAGTCACACAAGTCCAGGAAGCACAGAGGGTCCCATTCAAGAGGAACCCAATGACGCCCACTCCAAGACATATCAGTTAAAATGGCAAATAGCAAAGACAAAGAGAGAATCCTAAAGGAAGTAAGGGAGCCCTAATAGGGCTAGCAGCTGACTTCACAACAGAAACACTGCAAGCCAGAAAGGGGTGGCAAGAAATACTCCAAGTAACGAAAAACAAAAGCCTGCAACCAAGAGTGCTCTACTCAGCAAGGCTCTCAGTTAAAATGGAAGGCGAAATAAGGAGTTTCCCAAATAAAAGAAGGCTAAAAGAATACACCTCCACCAAACCAGAAATATAAGATATGCTAAAGGGACTGCTTTAAGAAGATAAAGAAAAAGAGCGAGAAAGAGAGGAACACAGGTACAAAGGGAAAAAATGAATAAGTATCTTTCAATAATAACTTTAAGTATAAATGAATTAAATGCTCCAATAAAGAGGCATAAGGTGGCTGAATGAATTAGAAAAGATGGCTCACACATATGGTGCCTACAAGAGACTCACCTCAGAATGAAGGACCTACACAGACTGAAAAGTAAAGGGATGGAAAAAGTATTCCAAGCAAATAGACAGGAAAAAAAGCTGGGGTAGCAATACTTATATCAGACAAAATAAATTTCAAAACAAAGGCCATAAAAAGAGACCCGGAAGGACACTTCTTAACACTCAAAATAAGAATCCATCAAGAAGACATAAAGATTGTAAACCTATATACACCCAACATAGGAGAACCCAAATATATAAGGAAAATCTTGGAGGACTTTAAGAAAGATATAGACAACAACATGCTGACAGTAGTGGATTTTAACACCCCACTGTCAACAATGGATATAGGTCTTCCAAACAAAATATCAAGGATATTGTGGAACTGAATGGCACATTAGATCAAATGGACTTAATTGATATATATATATATATAGGGGGAGAGAGAGAGAGAGAGAGAGAGAGAGAGAGAGAACTTTTCATCCCAAAGAAGCAAAATACACATTCTCTTCAAATGCACATGGAACATTTTCAAAGATAGACCACATGACAGGACACAAAACAAGCCTCAACAAATTCAAGAAAATTGAAATCATAACAAGCACTTTCTCTGACCATAAGAGCTTGAAACTAGAAACGTACCTCAAGGAAAAAACTCAAAAACATTCATACTCATGGAGACTGAATAGCATGTTATTAAACAATGAATGGGTCAATAATGAGATCAAAGAAGAAATTAAAAAGTTTCATGAAACAAATGAAAATGAACACACAACAGTCTAAAATCTATGGGACACAGTTAAGGCAGTCCTGAGGGGGAAGTTCATAGCAATACAGTCCTACCTAAAAAAGACAGAAACATTTCCAATAATCAACCTAATCCTACAGTTTCAAGAACCCGAGAAACAACAACAAACAAAGCCCAGAGTGAGTAGAAGGAAGGAAATAATCAAGATCAAAGCAGAATTGAATGACATAGTCAATAAAGGAACAATTCAAAGAATTGACAAATCCAGGATCTGGTTCTTTGAAAAGATAAACAAAATTGACAAGCCTTTATAAGCAGACTCATCAAGAAAAAAAGGGAGAAGACACAAATAAATAATATCATAAATGAAAGAGAAGGAATTACAACTGATACCACAGAAATACAAAAGATTATAAGAAATTACTATGAAAAATTATATGCCAAGAAGTTTGAAAAGCTGGGTGAAATGGACAAATTTCTTGAAAAATACAACCTTCCAACACTGAATAAAGAAGAAGCAGAAAGCCTGAACAGACTGATAACAGCTGTTAAAACTGAAGCAGTAATCACAACACTCCCTGCACACAAAAGTCCTGGACCAAACAGCTTCACAGGGGAATTTTACAAAACATTTAAGGAAGAGCTAACCCCTGTCCTCAGACTATTTCAAAAAATCCAAGAAGAGGGAAGACTCCCAAACTCTTTTTATGAGGCCAGCATCATCCTAATCCCAAAGCTAGATAAAGACACAACAAAGAAAGGAAACTAAAGGTCAATATCGCTGATGAACATAGATGTTAAAATTCTCAACAAAATATTGGCAAACTGCATCCATCAGCACATTAAAAAGATCATCCACCATGGTCAAGTGTGATTCATCCCAGGGATGCAAGGATGGTTCAATACTCACAAATCAACAAATGTAATATATGACATAAAAGGAAAGACAAAAATCACATGATCATATCAATAGATGCAGAAAAAGCATTTGATAAGATACAGCATCCATTTATGATAAAAACACTTAGCAAAGTGGGAGTAAAGGGGGCATACCTCAACATAATAGAAGCCATATATGAAAAACCTACAGCCAACATCATACTCAACAGGCAAAAACTAAAAGTTTTCCCACTAAGATCAGGAACAAGACAAGATTGTCTGCTTTCACCACTTCTATTCAACATAGCATTGGAAGTGCTAGCCACAGCAATCAGACAAGAAAAAGAAATAAAAGGCACCCAAATTGGAAAGAAGGAAGTAAAACTGTCATTGTTTGCAGATGACATGATAGTGTACATAGAAAACCCTGTGGATTCACCATAAAACTACTCGACCTAATGAGTGAATTTGATGAAACAGTGGGACACATAATCAATTTTCAGAAATCTAAGGTATTTTTGTACACCAATAATGAAATATCAGAATCAGAAATCAGGAAAAAATCCTATTTTCTATAGCAACAAGAAAAATAAAGTACCTAGGAATAAACCTAACCAAGGAGGTAAAAGTCCTGTTTTCAGAAAACTACATGACACTGACAAAAGAAATTAAGGAAGACACAAATACTGTGTTCATGGATTGAAAGAACTAACATCATCAAAATGTCCATACTATCCAAAGCAATTTATAGATTCAATGCAATCCCTATTAAAATACCAAAATGTATTTCACAGATACAGAACAATCATTTCAAAAATTTATATGGAACCATAAATGACCCCGAATAGCTGCAGCAATTTTGAGAAAGAACAAAGTAGGAGGGATCACAATATCTGATATGAAACTATGTTACAAGGCCACTGTAATCAAAACAGTCTGGTACTGGCATAAGGACAGACACATAGATTAATGGAACAGAATAGAGAGCCCAGAAATAAACCCATGTCTCTATGGTCAATATTTGACAAAGGGGGCAGAAGCATAAAATGGAGTAAAATAACTTGTTCAACAAATGGTGTTGGGAGAGCTGGACAGCTACATTAAAAAAAAAGAAATTTGACCTCGAACTTACACTGTACACAAAAATAAACTCAAGATGGATAAAAGACTTAAATATAAATTGCAACACCATAGAAGTCCTAGAAGAGAACATAGTCAGGAAAATCTCAGATATTCCGTGCAGCAATATTTTCACCAGTACATCCCCTAGAGCAAGGGATACAAAGGAAAGAATAAACAAATCGGACTTCATCAAAACAAGAAGCTTCTGCATGGCTAAAGAAAACATCAGCAAAATGAAAAGGGAACCAACTGTACAGGAAAATATATGTGGCAATGATACCTCAGACAAGGGTTTGATCTCCAAAATATATAAAAAACTCACATGACTCCACTCCAGGAAGACAAACAATCCAATTAAAAAATGAGCAAAGGACCTGAACAGATACTTCTCCAAGGAGGACAGTCACAGGGACCAGAGACATATAAAAGGATGCTCAGCATCACTAGCCATCAGAGAAAAGCAAATTAAAACCACAGTGAGATACCACTTCACACCAGTCAGAATGGCCATCATAAACAAATCAACAAACAAGCGCTGGCGAGGCTGCAGAGGCAAGGGAACCCTAGTACACTGTTGGTGGGGATGCAGACTGGTGCAGCCACTGTGGAAAACAGTGTGGAATTTCCTCAAAAAGCTAAAAATGGAACCACCTTTTGACCCAGCAATTCCACTGCTGAGATTATACCCTAAGTATCCTGAAGCACCAATTCAGAAGAACCTATGCACTCCAACATTCATAGCAGCACAATTTACAATAACCAAGTGCTGGAAGCAACCTAAGTGCCCATCAGTAAATGAGTGGATCAAAAAACTATGGTACATTTACACAATGGAATATTACGCAGAAGGAAGAAAGAGTTACTACCCTTCACGACAGCATGGATGGAACTGGAGAGCATTATGCTAAGAGAAATAAGCCAGGGGATGTAAGACAAATATCATATGATCTCACCTATAAGTGGAATCTAATCAGCTAAACAAATACTCAAGAAAAATATAACCAGCAACTATATGTCTTTGAAAGAAAAAACAAACCAACAGTAACAAGAGGGAAGGAGGAAGAGGGTAATGGGGAAAAGAAGGGAAAGGGTCAAGTCAAGGAACATGTATAAAGCCAAAGTGGGGAAGGACTGAGGGTAGGAGGTAGGGGTGGATGGGGCAGGGGAAAGTGATGGTGGGAAAGTGGAGACAAATGTGTTTGAACAATAAAAAATTTTAAAAAATTAAAAAAATAAAAGGGTGAAAGAATACAAAAAAGTGGAAAGAAAGAATAAAACTGTTATTTGCATATGACATGTCTATATATGGGGAAAAACTAGAAGAATCTATTGCAAACTATGAGAATTAATAAGGGAATTTAACGAGAAAGTTAAGCTTCAGACAAAAAGAAAAAAGTACTCATCACAAGAACAAGTATTTTGTAACCATGTACAGTGATGGAAGTTAACTAGACCTTGTGGTGATTATTTAGCAACATATGCAAGTATCAAATCATTATGTTGTACACCTCAAATTAATATAACATTGTATATCAGTTATACCTCAATTTTAAAAAAACAATAGGTACTCACCAAGGCATCCTTGGCTTTCCTGAAGGTCTTCCACTCTGTTGGTGGCAGATATTCAAACCTGCCAATGTCACAGCCCTTCCCTGTTGAGTGGGGCTTGGAGGTGGGGACAGGACCTGCTCTGGCCAAGCCCAGGCCTGAGGCCACCATCACCAGGCACCACGCTGCAGCCATGGAGAATCTGGAATTGCTTCCCCTGCTGCATGGCACCGCTTTTTAACCAAGCTAAGTGAGCAATCCTGGCTGCTGTGTGTTTAACAGGAAAAAGCAAATGGAAATTCCAATTTCAAAAGGCATGAGTGGGCGGGGCCCGCTGCTGACCCAGGTGAGCTCACAGGTGTGGGCAGGGCCATGTGAGCCCAGAGCTCTAAGAGGAGGAAAAAGAAACTGAAATCAATCCCAAGAGGGACCCTGAGAAATCCCCAAGCCTAGTGTAGGAGTTCCTGGGACTTTGGGGAGCCCCTAACTGAGGCTGTGGCCAGTAGAGGTATAGGCAGCTGTCCAGCAGGGCAGGGGCTGGTCAGGGTGTATGGTGGCGAGGATGCCTGAGTGCCAGGCAGGGAGCTTCCTCCACTGGTTTAAGCATGTTTCACTAACTCATTTTATGCTCCAAATATGCAGTGAGCGCAGTAAGTCCTCACTTAATGTCCTCATTAGGTTCTAGTAACCTGTATAACAAAACCAATTTGACCATAGGCTGATTGATATAAACAAGAGTTAAGTTCTGTCCTGGCTGGTGTGGCTCAGTGGATTGAGTGCCAGCCTACGAAGCGAAAGGTCACAGGTTTGATTCCCAGTTAGGGCACATGCCTAGGTTGCAGACCAGGTCTCCAGTTGGGGACATGGGAGAGGCAAATGATGTATGCCTCTACATATGTACGATGTATGTCTCATACATCAATGTTTCTCTCCATCTCTTTCCCCCTCCCTTCTCTCTCTCTGAAAACAAATAAATAAATAAATTTTATAAAAGGGTTAAGTTCCTACAGCATGTTTCTGTAGGAACATCACCAAAGTTCTAAATGAAGACCCAAAACATTTCTAATATTAAACACTGGAATAAAATGTGAGCTATACATACATTTAAGAAAGACTAATAAAAACAGGTCAGATAATGACTTTCCAGATACTCTTCCAGTTCTGGGTGGCATGGCCAGAGCCCGTTTGGCCACGCAGGGCAGAAGGCAGTGCCCCGCCCCGCCCCTGCCGACAGGAGCCCTGCATCGCAGGGCCACTCACACACCCCCACACTCACTCAGACTGGGGCAATTTGGACATGACTATTCACCTGATAAGCACATCTTTGGGATGTGGAGGAAATCCCAGTCCCTGGAGAAAACCCATGCGGACATGGGGAGAACGAGCCAAACCCACAGAGACAGTGCTCCCAGCAAGGGGTCAAATTTGTTTTCCTCATCGACAAACGTTATGACAAGATGACATTGGATGAAACAACGTTACTAGCGGACCACCATAGTTATTTTTAGGATCATCCCCCATTTTACCCATGAGGAAACTGAGGTACAGGAAGGCAAAGTGATTTGCCTAAGGTCCCACAGGTGGTTCATGGCAGAGCTGGTCTTTGAACGGTGTCCCATGTGCATACTCCCTATGCTATATATGGCCAAAGAAAAAGCTGGGAACCCCTATGAGTCACAGACAGCTAACTCTCCTTTTCCTCCCTCTGGGTAGCATGACATAATAGGGAGGGCCTAATTCACTAGGGGTAAGTGAATGGGGATGGGAGAGGGTGCCTGGGGCGAAGGCATCCCCCTGGGGTGAGGAGGGCTCACAGAAGGCAGGCAGAGTCTGGTTGCTTTCCTGTCAGCCCCACCCCGACCCCGCGGTAATAATATTTGTGTAGCAGGTAGGGAATTGTTCTGATGTGTGGGCACTTCTCATGTTTCATTATTTTATTTTCTTTCTTAGCTCTTAGGTGCAGAAAATTACAAATCATACTCTTCAGATTATAGCAGAATCACAACTGATCCATGAGGGACCCTCTAAGTTTATATCCGCCCCCCCATGCCTAATCCCACTCCCATCACTCCCCCTCACAGGGACCCACTTTAATGCACTTGACATGTAGCTGCAAAGGTGTATTTTTACAATTTGCAATTGACTGCATTTATGTGTTTCCAATTTACATAAATGGGATTGTGTTATAAACCTTGTTCTATTTATTTCTTTTTTAAAAAAAGAAACTTAGCAGTACATTTTTGAGAATATGTATAGCAGTGTGCACCAAGTTTTCTGCTTCTAAACGCTGCATTGTATTCCATGGTGTGCCCACAGCACTTTTACTTAGCTGTTCTCATCTAGTCCCTCAGTGACGCACACGTCGGTTGCCTTCATCTCCCCATCAGTATAAGGCTCACACATGCCCTCTCTGTGGGGAATGTTCTAGGCTCTATCAGAGCACCCAAGCTGGCGCCCCCCACCATATCCCCTCAGCTCATTTTTTTCACTTGCATGTAGATATGGTAGGTAGTTCCCACATACGTCCACAGCTTCCCACCTTGGGTGTTCTGGTATTGCTCTGCTTCTCCTTTGAGTTCTTTCTCCTGTCTACATGCAGAATAGATCAGAAGTGCCAGGATTAATTCCTCAAAAGCAATTCACATCCAACGCAGGTAGGGAGCCAGGAAACAAGTACTCTGCTCCCCTTTTCCTCAGTGGGTCATTCCTGAGGTGTGTTCTACACGATTCCTCAAGTCTTGGAGAGTCCCCTATGAATGAGCTCCATCTAGTCGCTCACAGCAGTGTAACCTTGGGAGGCAGGGACTAGGGTGAGAAAGCTGAGGTGCCTGGGCTCAAAATTTAAGTAGGCCCTCACTTTCATGTTCAGGCAAGTGCCCTAGGTACCTCACCTGCCTCCCTCTAGTCCAGACTGCGCCAGGTTTGGCCTTTTTCTCTTCTAATCCCAATTTCCCCACTCACTTCTGTTTCCTGGAGTCACTTCCCAAATAAACCACTTGTACCCTTGGCTCAGGGCATGCTTTTGGGAGGCCCCAAACTAAGAGATTATATCTATCTATATATCTATCTGTATCTGTATCTGTATCTATGTCTATATCTATATCTGTATCTATATCTATTTTAGGAATAGGATCTCTGCGCCACAGTGCAAACCTCCACTTATATTGTCTGGTCAGCGCTGTTCAACAGAACTTCCTGCCATAATGGAAGTGCTCTGTACCTGCCCTGCCCAATACAGTAGCCACCAACCACGTGTGGTTGTTGAATGCTTAAAATTCGGCTAGTGAAATGGAGGAACTGAATTTTCCATTTCTTTCATTTTTCTTTAGGTGAATTGCTATATGTGGCTGGTGGCTACCGTAAAGGACAATGCAGTTCTAAGTACTCGTCTCTTGCTCTCCCACACAGTTGCGCCTGCTTCCCTCTCTCCGGAAGTGCTGGAGAGTTCCTGTTTCCCCCACCCCCCCGAGCAGTGTGGCCTCCTGAACACAAGGGTCTGATTTAGGTGATGTAGTCCTGAACCTTGACAGTGAGCCTGGTGCAACATAATGAGACTTTTGAGATTAAGGGACAAGATGAGTGAATTTTGCATGTGAAAGAAATGCAACTACTGTGTGGCCAGAGGGTACACTGTGATTTAAAAATAACTTTTCAAAGTCTGACATTTTCCCCACTGAGAGGTGAGTCTGTCCCCTCCCCTTGAATCTGGGCTGGCCTTAGTGGCTCCTGTGTAACTCTAGGTGCTGCACGACCTCTGAACCTAAGTCAGAAAAGGTTGAGGCAGCTTCCGCTTGGTTCTCTTGAGACTCTCACTCTGGGGAAGGCCAGCTGCCATGCTTTCCCTGAGATCACCATGCTCCCACCCCCACGCGGCCATTTTGGACACACAGCCCAGCTCACAGGTTCCCCAGCTATGGTTGGGGCTCTATCTCCTCTAATCCCCACCCCACCAAGGATCCTACATAGCCATTTTTAGTCTACTGCTCCCATGCCTCTGGATCCCAGGAAACAAAAGAATTACCTATGGACACATATTCAATTTCCCTTTTTATATACAAATATATATATATTTGGCAGTTAGATAGATACGAGCAGAATAGGAACAATAGGCAAGGTATGGTATGTTACCAGAGTGCAAAGCCCTGGGCACTTTGCAAAGGGCAAAACTGGGCTGGGATTTTACCCCAGGAATGACTTTTCCTGCTCTAGCATATTGTTGGTCATGTAGCTAAACCCCCTAACCTTCCATATTGCTGGTCATATGGTTCAGACCCTCCCCTGACATTTCCTCTCCTGGAATATTGTTAGTTATGTGGTAGACCCTCTAGAGGAAGAACAAGAGGGTTAGAGATTAGCCTCTATGACTCCCATACAAGCTCCCTTAAGCTTTAAGCCCTAGAGATAACATCTAGGCCTCTGTGGTGTGTCAGTTCCAGGGCAAGAAAAGCAACCAGGCCGTGTAGTCCCATTAATGATATCAGGAGCAGCTTAAATGGCTAATGACCCCATACCGTGGGGCCAACAAATTGGTAGAGACCACAGACTTGAAAGGACACCCCTGGAAAACTGATGAATATTCTATGGTGACTTCCCCCTGAGACTTCCAGATAAAACCCTCAAGAGAAAGGACTCAGTGCAGGTTCTTTCTGTCTCTTGATCCTGCCAGTGGTTTTCTGTTTTTTTTCTGCCTCTCCGCCCTGAGAGGGGTGTTCTGTGTTTTTTAAAAAATATATATTTTATTGATTATGGTATTATAGTTGTCCCATTTTTTTCCTTCTCTTTATTCCCCTCCACCCTGCACCGCCCCTCCACCCAGCATTCACCTCCCCCTTAGGTCATGTCCATGGGTCATACATATAAGTTCTTTGGCTCCTCCATTTCCTATACTATTCTTAACCTTCCCTGTCTATTTTGTACCTACTATTTATGCTGCTTATTCCCTGTCCCTTTACCCTCATTCTTCCCCCTCCCACTCCTCTTGATCTCCATTTCTATGATTCTAGTTGTTTGCTTAGTTTGCTTTCTTTTTTGTTTTTTAGGTTCAGTTGTTAGTTGTGAGTTTGTTGTCCTTTTACTGTCCATAGTTTTTGATCTTCTTTTTCTTAGATAAGCTTCATATAATAAGGGCTTGGTGATGACAAACTCCTTCAACTTGACCTATCTGGGAAGCTCTTTATCTGCCCTTCCATTCTAAATGACAACTTTGCTGGAGAGAGTAATCTTGGATGTAGGTCCTTGGTTTTCATGACTTGGAATACTTCTTGCCAGCCCCTTCTTGCCTGCAAGGTTCCTTTGGAGAAATCAGCTGATGGTCTTATGGGCACTCCTCTGTAGGTAACTGTCTCCTTTTCTCTTGCTGCTTTTAAGATTCTCTCCTTATCTTTAATCTTGAGTAACTTACTTATGATGTGCCTTGGTGTGTGCTTCCTGGGGTCCAACTTCTTTGGGACTCTGAGCTTCCTGGATCTCCTGGGAATCCATTTCTTTGGCCAGATTGGGAAGTTCTCCTTCATTATTTCTTCAAGTAAGTATTCAATTTTTCGCTCTTCTTCTTCTCCTTCTGGCACCCCTATGATTCGGATGTTGGAAGGTTTAAAGTTGTCCCGGATGTTCCTAGGCCTCGTCTCACTTTTTTGAATTCTCACTTCTTCATTCTGTTCTGGTTGAATGTTTATCCCTTCCTTCTGCTCCCAATCATTGATTTGAGTCCTAGTTTCCTTCCCTTTACTACTGGTTCCCTGTATATTTTTATTTGTTTCACTTTGCATAGCCCTTACTTTTTCTCCATTTTGCAACCATACTCAATCAATTCAGTGAGCATCCAGATTACCAGTGTTTTGAACTGTGTGCATCTGATAGGTTGGCTATTTGTTCATTGTTTAGTTCTATTTTGGGGGCTTTGATCTGTTCTTCCATTATGGCCATATTTCTTTGTCTCATTGCACCTGTTACTTTGGAAGGTGCAGAGCCTTAGGCATTTGCCAGGGTGGGGCAACCCAGGTCACTGTGTTGTGATGCCATGTGTGGGTGAGGGGTCGGAGGGGGAACAATGCCTCTTGCTCTGCTCTCAGCCGGCTTTCAGTCACTTCCCCTGCTATTCACAAACAAATTGTGCCCTTCTGGTGTTGATTCCCAGGTGGGAGGGTTTGTGTAGATTCTAGGACCCCATGGGTCTCTCCAGTGAACTCTCTTGTGAGGCTGGGAGTTTCTCCTTCATTCACACTCCCCACAGGTTTTTACCTCTAGAGGTTTTGAGGCTTTCTTTTCCCACACTGGAACCCTGGATTGAGAGATCTATCTCTCCCTCTAGCTATTCCTCATGATTTATCCTCACGAAAATGTGGGACTGCCTGGTCCTCCAGCTGCCAGCTTGGTGTGTGTCCTCTCTGCCCTGGCTGCCCATCTCTGGCCCTCCTACCGGTTCGGATGAATGTTTCTTCTTTAGTTCCTTGGTTGTGGGACTTCCATACAGTTCTATTTTCTGGAAGTTCTGGTTATCATTTGTTTTTAAATTTGTTTTTGTCCTTGTTTTGGTTGTGCAAAGAGGAAAGTATATCTACCTATGCCTCCATCTTGGCCAGAAGTTCTTTTCTTTGCTTTTTTTTAAGCCTAACGTCCAAGGACCCTTTTTTTTTTTTTTTGTCTCTGAACTTGTTTCCTAAGCCTATGCAGCCCAGCTAGCTCACATCTTCCACAACTGACTTCTTCTACCTCTGTGATCTTATAAACAAACATTTGCTTGTATTTGAGTCTTGCCTCTGATTTCTTTCTTAGCCAGAACTCAAGTACTAAGGTTACTGACCTGAGGTCCAGTCTAACTGCCAGAAACATTCTGGTGCCCTTTGCAGCTGACCTCATCATGCAGACAGTTGAATGGATGGATGGATGAATAAATAAACAAACTCTTCAAAGGGCACTGTTAACAAGTTATTTGCAAATGGAGAAAACTAAAATTTAGAAAGAGGCAAGTATAGCACTAAAAGTCTATGGGTAGATAAATGTCCCATCATTTTAACTCTGACTTCAAAGTCGGACCTCCACCACTTCAGGCTACATCAAAATGATTGCTTGCACTACTAGATGTTGCACCATTATATAAATTAACACCAGGAGAAATAGAGTATTGACACAAGTATACAGGTCTTACAACAATAGGGACACATAAGTAACAGGATCCCAAAATGATTCTAATACAGTTATGAGTGGCATGATGATCTTTCATTTAACAACAGACCACATATGCAATGTGGTCCCATCAGGTGATAATGGAGCTGGAAAATTTCTACCGCCTAGTGACACTGTAGCTGTTGTGACCTCCTAATTCAATACATTGCTCACATGTTTATGGTAATACTATTGTAAACAACCTAATGGGTTGCCAGTCATATAAAGCATACCACATACAGTAGTGTATAGTACATAATACTTGATAATAAATGACTACATTACTGTTTGACATATTTATTATACATTTTATCATTATTTTAGAGTGCACTCTTTCTACCTATATAAGAAAGTTTGTTGTGAGACAGTATGTGTATTACGCCAGCAGCAGCCTCATACATATTGTGTTTACCGTGTCTCTTGATTGAACCATTTTCTCTTGTACTTGATTTAATATAATGTTGTTTTATAAATTTAATGTAGCCTAAATATAAAGGGTTTATAAAGTCCATAGTAGTGAACACAAAGTCCGAGGCCTTCACATTCATTCACCACTCATTCACTGACTCACCCAGAGCAACTTCTAGTTTGGCAAGTTCCATTCATGGTAAGTGTCCTATACAGGTGTACCATGTTTTATTTTTTATGCCATATTTTTACTGCACCTTTTCTATGTTTAGATACACAAATACTTATCATTGTGTTATAATTTCCAATGGTATATAATATAGTTAAACCTGCTATATAGCTTTGTAGTTGAGGAGCAATAGGCTATACCATATAGCCTACATGTGTAGTGGGCTGTACCATCTAGATTAGTGTAAGTGCACTTTATGATGTTCACACAAACACAAATTCACCCAATGATGCATTTCTCAGAACATGCCCCTCTGGTTCAGTGGCAAGTGACTGTAACTGAGAACTTGAATTGGTGTTCCGCAAATCTCTTAGAAATTGGATCTTCTTAAGAGAGGAGATCAAAAAATCACAGATTCACAGAATGTTGAAGGAGGCATTCAGGGAAAATAAGGATGGTCGATGGTCCACGGGGTCAGCACCAAAGTGGAGGCAGGAATCAAATCTCTTCCAACCAACCATTGAAGATTGAATCCCCACAAACACACATATTTCCGACAGCCCAAATAACATCATTATTTCACTGATTATTAGCACAATTTTACAAAAAGTAAAAAAAATAAACAATTTATTGGCCGTGAGTTTGACAATTCACACAGATAAATACATAAATAGAGGGTGGCTGGCAATATATCCAAAAAAAGGGGCACGTGCATAAATAAAATCTAATGATCGGGCAGGTTGCGGGTGGGCGTCGGGCTCAGACACACAGGTCTCCCCTGGAGACACATCGCAGGTCACGGGTGAGGAGGCGGAAGAGGTTGAATGTGACAGAGGCTTCGAGGCAGCCAGCGGACTCCTGGGGGGAAGGCGGGACAGGTCGGTGGCTGCCCGCCATGCGGGCTCCCAGCTGACCCCAGACGCTGGTCACTCCCTGGTCACTCACCTTCTCCGGAGCCTCCTGGAGGCGGCGCAGCCAGTGGCGGAGGAGGCCCCGGGGCCGGGGGCCTGCTGGGGCCTGAGCTGGGGCCTGCGGGCAGAGGAGGGCGGTGTGTGAGGCAGGGCCTGGGGACAGAGGGGGACACACAGGGGGTCCGCGCCCGCAGACACGGCCTGGGAGCCCAGAGCACTCACGCAGGCCTGAAGCTTGGCGTGGATGTGGCGCAGCGTGTGAAGGGGCTGGTCCAGGATGTCCCCCAGCGTCGAGTTAGCCATGGGCCCCAGGGCCTTCAGGGTCAGGGCCAGCTCAGCCTCCAAGGCCATGGGGCGCTCCCACACCTGAGGACGGGAGACAGACAGGTGCGGGCTGCACGTGAGGGAGGAACAGGTGAGGAGGACGGAGGAAGCAACAGTACAGGTAAAAGGTCAGGGCAGGGGAGGTGAGAAAGCCAATGTGGGTATGTGAGAAGAAGAGGTTGGGGGGGCGGCTGGGCAGGAGGGCAAGGAGATGGGGACACGTGGGAGGAAGAGGTGAAGACCCAAGGAGCCAGAGGAGCAGAGCCCTCTGGGGAGGGCGGGGCTCGGCCTGACTCTCCCAACTCACCTGCAGCTGCCTCAGGTCCCGGGTCCTGGGGAATGGGCGGGAGCGGCAGCTGCGGTTCTTCAGCAAGAGCGACTCCTCCTGGAGAGCAAAGACACAGGTCAGCCCACGGCTGCAGGGCTGAGGTTAGACCCCTGCCGTGGGACAGGCAGACTGACGACGGGACGGAGGGCGGTTAACTTCCAGAAGGATGGTGGAGGCATCTCCACCGCGGAAGAACATGAGTCAGCCCAGCGCAGCAAGAGCAGGAGTCTGCCCACTCTGCAAAAGTGGAGGCTCGCCCAGGGAAGGGGCGGCACCGGCCCGCCCCGAGCCAAATGGAGCGTGGTAGCCCACAGAGGCAGGGCGGCGGTGAGCCCACAGCAGGTGGGGCAGTGGGGAGGCTCACCAACGCGTCCTTGGCCCTCCTGAAGGCCTTCATGTCTTGTGGGGACAGCGACGTGAACGGGGCCATGGCGCAGCCCCTCGCACCCGGGAGGGCACTGAGGGGCGTGGGGGCAGGAGCCGCTCCCGTCCTGGTCAGCGCCGTGGTCATCAGCATCAGCACCAGCATGCAACCCACAGCCGAGTCTGTGTTCCGGAAGGAGAGACCGAGAGGGCCCCGACAGCGTCAGGGGCTGCGGGGGGGGGGGGCTGGGGGGGCGGGGGGCGTGGGCACTGATGTGGGGGCTCACCCAGCTTCATCCTCGTCTCTGGCCTCTGGTCTCTGTCTGAAGGGGGATGCAAATGTCCGCTGAGAGGCTGTCGCCAGGGTCTCTCCCTCAGCCTTGCTGTGTGTCGGTGACCTCAGCCTCCTCTTCTGGGCCTCAGCCCGCTGCTCTGTCTGTGCCTCTGAACTTCCAGCTCTGCTGCGGTGGAGCGCCTGCCTGAGCTCCATCCATGGTACAGCTTTTAGCCTGGACACACGGGCAACCCCAGCTGATGTAGGAAAAGTGAAAACGCACCTGCCACTAGGGGAGGCCCCAGGCTGGGGAAGCCCGCGCAGGGCGGGGCCTTGAGCCAGGTGAGTAGCAGGAGCGAAAGAGAAACTGACACAGGTTCGGGTTCACCTACAGGAAGGTGGTGAGTTCCTAAGATGAGTCTCACAGGGGCGGCCCCAGCCCCGCAAAGACGGGTCACAGCGTCCTGACAGGGAGGGGACACAAAGACTTGCCTTTCTGAAGGCTACCGCGATACTGGGAGAGGAGGGGAAAGGCGCCTCCAGGGTGTGGCCAGGAAGAACCTGGCACTTTCGAGAGAGAGGTTACTCCAGACAAGGGAGAAGAGAAAGGGAGAAGGCTGCTCGGGGGTGTAAGGGAGTCAGAAAGGGGGAGCCGCCCCAGTTTCAGAGGGGAGACCAGCTCTTCCCTCCCTTCCACACCCCCTACTGGGAGGCAAAGAACGGGGAGGAGGGGAACCTCACTAACATCTTTAACTGTCCAGGCACCGAGGGGCCCAGGAGTGGGAGGCTCTGCTAGTGAGTTGGGGCGTGGCCACGGGCTTTTGGGAGCCGGCTCAGTTTGTGACAAAGGCCTTCATTCACGCACCAAGTACTCTTCAGCCCCCACTTTGTGCCGGGCACGGCTCAAGGTGCCCGATATAGGGCATTGGATAAAGAGCCTATAAATCAATCCTTCGAGGACCTTTTACCAGAGAGGAGTGACAGAGAGTAGCGGGGAGGGGTTGAGCCCACGGCGTGCATCACCTCGGGGGACGGAAAATGACAGAACTCCAGGTGGGTGAGCGCAGAGTGTAAGAGGGTGTTGCACTGAACGAGGCGCTGAAAGACCCCACTCGAACAGAGACTGAAAGACGTGAGGGAGGGGGCTCGTGAAGATCTGAGGGGCGAGCTGTTCAGGCAAAAGGGAACCAGGGATGCCCCGTTCTGTCGAGTGCTTTCTATTTCCCCTTCACAAAGGCTTTGCCACCTGCAGTATTGAACCCACAGTAACACCAAGGATATACTGAACATTCCCTACACTTTCTGTATATGGAGTAACGGTGGCAGAAGGGACAGAGGCTTAGTGCTGTGGCCTGTTCTAGATATAAAGTATCTTGAAACGATCTTAAAAATACATAAAACCAAGTAAATACTGAGTAAAACGCAGGGAATCAGAGATGTCAGGAGACCTGCCCGAGGTCCCAAAAGAAACAAGTGGTGAGGGCGGGATTTTAACTAAGTCTTTTTTCCTGACACCCCGACAGTAACCACGACACTCTCCAGTTACTGTGCAGCTAGAGCTCCTGAACACCATGAAAGGGAAATTGTAGCACAGAGGTGCCCAGTGCTCTTTGGCAACCGGCTCGCACCCCAAACCCTTTTTCCGTTATTCAAAATTACAGGGAGAGAGTGGACAGAATCCTTAGTTGGAAAAATGGAGCCTGATACACAGAAGTGTTCAAAGACGAGAATAGGGGGGAGCCCAGGTCACCTTCCAGTGCATTGGTCAGCTTGCGTCCATTGCAGGGGCCTTCACCCAGGGGAGGAGACATTGCATCAACAAAACTCTGAAAGACGACAAAGGGTCTCAAAACCCCTAGACTTCCTACTTTGTTTTTCGTAGAGCGAAGGTCACTGAGGTGATTAAGGGCACAGGCTATGGAGCCAAAGGGCCTGCGGTGCCAACCGGGCCCTGACCCTCACAGCTGTGTGACCTTGGCAAAGAGGCCTGCAGTTAGCAGCAAAGATCGCCAGCCCGCAGGCTTGGGCACAGAACAAGTGCAATTGCCTGTGCATTTCCGCGCCTGCTTATTTGGCAGAGACCGTTTATTAAGACCACCCCGTGGCCTCAGCTGGAAGCTTGAGAAACGCTGTTTCAATGTACGCCCCTCATTTGCAAGAAAGGGATAAGAACGCCTTGTATGGAGGAGGAAACTGAGGCTCAGAGAGAAGTAGTTGGCCCCGTGAGAGCGCAGTTGAGTGGCAGGGTCAGAATTGAAACTCATGTCACCTGATTTCCCTGGCTCAGCAGTTTTGACTGAAGAGTGCCCCTCAGAATGATCACAGGGGAACAACCAATGAAAATACAAGAATATTTAATAATAGCAGTAAATTGCTACCGCAAGACGGAATAGCAAATTGCATGGGGATTGCACAAATACACAAGTCACGTGGGTAACAGAATCCGAGATGCAGCAGTAACCTAAGGACTTCGGGCCCTTTCACCGCCAAGTCCCTTATTGGATGAGGCCTCCCCAGTGGGGAGATCCGAGTCACAGATTCATAGAATCTCAAAGCGGATACCGAAGGCTCAGATCCGGGCGCGGGACCCGTCATGGGAGACGGGGCTCTGGGCTTCCGGTAGGCAGAGCAGTAGAAACTGGCCCGCGGCTCCGGGCGCCGGAGACCCATAGGCATCGCGGACTCAAGTCTCTTGGTGACAGACGCGACCCCTGGAAGATCTTAGGGGAAGGCTTCTGATCGAAACGTCCTGGCTTCCAGGCGAGACACGTTCTGGTCCTTGGAAAAGCACCCGCCCCTCCTCGTCCACCCAGCCCAAGTGATGGCGGTCTGGGTCTGGGCGACGGCGGAGGAGTCCCCTGCGCTGCAGCGGCCCCCGGCGGGAGGCCGGCCTCCAGGAAAGGGCAGCACAGCGGAGCTCGCAGCCATCCGCCTGCAGAGCCGCGGGTCCCCCTGGAGGCGTCCCGGGGTCAGAGACAAGGTCCCGAGTGCGCCACCAGCCTCAGGTCCCACGTGAGCAGGCGGAGAAGGTTGAAGATGACGCTGGCTTCGTGGCATCGAGGCGAGTCCTGGCACCCGGGAAGGAGGCGAAGCGGGACTGAGGCAGGAATTTCCTCCTGAAAAGCTCTCCTCCATCCGTTCTCAAACCATCCCTCGGCTGGGGACAGAGCCCCTCCACACACGGACCCTGCTCGGCCCGCGCCGCCCCTCCACCCCGCCCCGCCCCCGCCCCCGCCCCCGACGCCACCAGCTTAGCTGCTGTCTCCACGCACAGCTCTCCGTGCTTTGGGGCGCCTCCTGGGGGGCCGGAGGGACTTCCTCGAGGAACTCGGCCGCACCAGCTCGAGCTGAAGGAGGGGGGCGTGGGGGGCCGGATGTAAACGAAGGAGTCGAAGGACCGAGTCTCCTACCGACTCCACCTGCGAGCCTCCCAGACCCAGACCAAGGGCAAATCTGGGGACGCCCAGAGGACGTGACTCGTGCCCGGACGGGTTTGGGGCTCAGGGGAACGAGTCGCGAAACCGGCGTCCTAGCGGCGGGGCCGGGCGCGGGGACACTCACGCAGGCCACCACGTCCCTCCGCGCGGCCGCCAGCAGGTCCAGGGTCCGGGCGACGCCGGGAAACAGCTCGGGGCTGGGCAGGCTGCTCAACACGGCCTGGGCGTCCGAGAGGTCCCGGGCCACCCGGCGGAGTCTGGCGCAGGACTGCAGGGACGCGGTGGAGTGAGAGACGGCCGCGGCCCCGGCCCCGCCACCCGCCCTGCAACCCGTACACCTCACCAAGGGCCGCGCGGGATCCCTCCTTGGGCGGAAGGGGCAGTTGCGTGGCCTCCAGCTCAGGGTCTCTTCCTCCTGGGGGCGGGGGGAGACGAGGGAGGGGTCAGGTGGGCGTCTTCGCCAGGCCCCCCGCGCCGCCCCTCCACCTCCCCCCGCCCCCCGCAACAAGCGCTGGGCCGTCGGGGATTCCTGGACGTGGACCGGGACTGGCAGACGCGGTCTTGCGTACCGTGCGCCGAGCCGCGGAGCTCTCGGAGGGCGTGAGCACGGCCTGAAATGCACGCCCCCCGCCCCGCGGCGAAGCGCTACACTCCGACGTGATGCGAAGCAGCCGAGGGGGCGCCCTTTTGAGACTGGCATGAAGGCACCCCCTGAGCTTGAGGTGCCCGCAGCCGGCACGGTCTCGTGGTCAGGATTCCGGACCTTCGGCTCTGAGATGCACCTGCCGGCCGGCAGGATGCTCGGGTCTCTCGGGGCAGGGACCCGCATCCCCGGCCCCGGCAGGCCCAGCGTCTCCCAGGATGGGGGTCTGGGCATCACTCACGTAGTGGTCCCTCAGCGCCTTGACCGCCGCCAGAGCCCTGGGCTCCAGCCAGCGGTAGTGCGAGAGGTGGCAGCGCCGGGGCTCAGCCGCGCCGGGGTCCGCCGCCACGCTCGCCGTCACCAAGACCCACAGCCCCAAGGACGCCGCGGCGGCGCCGCTTGGCCTCATCTCTGCTCCTGCAAAAAGCGAGGGACGTCAGGGAGGCCGAGGGGAACGCCCCGAGTCCAGCCCCTGCCTCTGGTGAGACGGGCAGAGGGACCGACCTCAGATCGCTGGCGCTCAGCACCCGCACGGGAGAGACGCGGCGGGCCCCGAGACCCCTGCCACCCTGAGCCGCCGCCCCTCCCGCCTCACCTGCACCTGCCGTGCGCCTGCCGTGCCTCGTGCCTGAGCGGGGTCTGCCTTGTACTGTCCCCTGCGAGGTGTCCACACTGGTGTCCACCTTCGCCAGCGGTGCCTGCCCCCTCCATGGCGGCTTTTATGTGCCCGGCCGAGAAATGGTGAGCGCCTGGGCTTCCCCGGTCGGGTTAAGTTTTCGGAACATCAGCGCTGGCCGCTGGCCCAGTGGGATGCTGGCCTCGGCGGGAGGACTTTGCCCGCCTGCCCCACGGTGCCAGCCGTGGCTCTGCCCCAGCTCTCTGTCACCGTTTCTCGTTTTGACCCTCCCTGTATCCAGTGTTTTCATCACCCCCTTGGTGTTTTCCTTTGTCTAATATAGTGACAAGCCCTTCTTAGGGCTGCTGAGGAGTGGGTACTGCTCCTAGATACATTCAGCTCATAGTTCGCAAAGAAGGGCACTTCCAGGGATGTGCTGTGAGTATTCCTGTTTATGGCTGGCGAAACTGACGCATGGGCAAATGGAAGAAAGCTCCCAAAGTCCCACTTAGTGTCAGAGGGAGGATATGAACCTACATGCTGCCCAGCTGCAAAGCTTGTTCTTTGCTGCATTTCCCCCTCATTATCTGGTTCAATTATCTCCATCTCTGTCTTCATTTCATTCCCTTCTTCTCTCTTCCCTCTGTATATGCTGCCACTTTTGAATTGCGTCGTTTGTCTTTCTGTCCCCGCCGTTGTCTAACCCCACCTCTCTCATCCCTCTTCTAGCTAATATCCAGGCCATGGCCTCCGCGTCTCTCTCTGTTAGTCAGTCTCAATCGGTCTCTCATTTTAGTTTTAAAATGAGATCTACTGTTTCTTTCTATGATAAACTTAATGATGCAGGTTCATGACTAAAGTTGAAAAATACAGAAATGCATGAAGAAGACAAAAACCCACCTATAACTTCACCCACCTCTCTCCCTTCATGCCACATCTGGAACAATTTTACCAACGTGTTGAATACATATATTTGTTATAATATATATTTGTAACTATATTTGTTACTATATGTTACCATATATATTTGTAACATAGTAACATGTTCATTTTAATGATTTAGTCCGTGCAAAAACATACCAGATGGAGAACCAAAGGGATTTTTCAGTCCCACTTCTTGGGGTTAATCCTTTTTAACAGTTAGTAGCTAATACTCTCTTCTCCTCCTTCACCCCCCTTTTTAAGAGCAATCCCTCCCCAGTGGAACCAGGCTGTGCGAAGATTGGTAGCCTGCTTTTTATGCCTTACCATTATCTCTCATTTACGTTTCCCCCACATTTTTAACTATACTGTGTCAGTTAAGGCCCCAGCAGGAAACAGATGGCCCAATCAATTTAGGGCAATCTGAGGTGGGTTTCATACCAGGAGTATATACAAAGGGATTTGAGAGTGAAGGGAAAGGACAGGGGTAGTGCAAGGGGTGTGCAATGCCTTGGGTCCTTCCTGGGGGAGAATCTGTCATTCCTCGGCTTGAGAGAAGCAGAGCGAGGAGGGAGCACTTACCTGACCTGGGAAGGACAGTCCTGTGCACAGGGCAAGGAAGCAGACTGGCTGTGGTGATCCCTCTCCCTGGCCCCACTGCTAGGCCACCAGTGTGACTGCACCCAATGGAGAACAAGGCAGAGCCTCCTGGGGCCCAGAGCAGGGTGGCGAAGTGGGAAGTGTGGACCTGGAGGGGCAATGGACAGCACCCCATACAGATCGCTACTAAGGCTCCCATTCTACAGGGTCACTGAGTAACCAATGCCCTCTTGGTGAGCACTGATGTTACTTGTGGCATTTTGTTAAAGCCGTGGTTATCAAGGCTGGAGGAGACGGAGGGACCGATTTTTCCATTCTCCTAGCAATGTGTTTCACAGAGCTGAAGGTTGACATCTGAGTAAAGTCCAACTCATCAACTCTTTTTTTTTTTTTTTCAAGGATCATGATGTTCATGTATGTAAAAGTCACCACCAAGCCCAAGGTTCCCTAAATTTTTTCCTAAGCTATAGTCTGGAAGTTTTACAGTTTTGCACTTTATATTTGGGTCTATGATACATTTAGAGTTAATTGTTGTGAAAAGTGCAAATTCTGTATTCAGACTCATGGTTTTTCTGCAGGTGAATGTCCAGCTGCAATACCATTTGCTGAGAAAACTATCTTTCCTCCATTGAATTGCCTTTGTTTCTTTCTCAAACACCAGGTGGCTCTATTTGTGTGCTTCTATTCCTAAATCCTCCATTCTGCTCCATTGATTTGTCTATACTTTCCTTGGCACCTCATTGTCTCGATTACTGTAGCCATAGAGTAAGTCTTGATATCAGGTAATGTCAGTCCTCCAACTTGGGTCTTCTCCTTTAATATTGTGTTAGGTATCCTGGGTTATTTGAACACCTATATAAACTTTCAGTTTGTCAATATCCACAAAATGACTTGTTTGGACTTTGATTGGGTTGTATTGAATCCAAGATTAAACTGAAAAGAACGGACATCTTTACAGTATCGAGTCTTCCTATCCATATACATGGAATAGCTATTTACTTACTTACTTAAATTGTCTAATTTTAGCCCTGGCTGGTGTGGCTCAGTGGATTGAGTGCCGACCTTTGAACCAAAGGGTTGCCGGTTCGATTCCCAGTCAGGGCACATGCCTGGGTTGTGGGCCAGGTCCCCAGGAGGGGGCATGCAAGAGGCAACCACACAACGATATTTCTCTCCCTCTCCTTCCCTTCCCCTCTCTAAAAACAAATATATAAAATGTTTTAAAATTGTTCATTTTTACTAACTTCTGAACCAGTTTTCTCAAACTGGGTTCCTCAAGTCCTGTGACATTTATTAGAGTGGCTGGAGGAAAATGCTTTTTGGAGCAGAACTCTTGGAAAATGCCTGGTTTAACCATGCGGGGCAAGTTTCTCTGCAGCAGAACTTCTCAAGGCCTCTAACCTGCTCATATCCTGTGACTCTCCGAGAGTGGGATGGTTACTAGACCTTCGCACCCTTCCCCGAGAAACAACTAACGAGCGGCAAACACCAGTTTTCTAAGCTGTGCAGTCAGGAAAGGCTATTTTCCGGACCCTATTAGTTTTCAAGCAAAATCGTGAAAAAGTCAAAATGTCTCCAATAGTGAAAACGAAGACAGCTGTAATTAAAGATAATCATTGACAACTACAACATGATCCACTCTACCTTGGATGTCACTTTCTAGTTTTCCAAGTGAATTTTATGCATTTTTCTCAACATCACTCACCACTCCCAGGTGAGGAATGAATGATTGGCATTATTGGCCCTTTTTGCAAAGAACGTTGGTGTCTGGGGGGATGTCTCTATTTTTGCGACCTTTGATTCTTTCACAGATTTTTGTAGTTTTTCTCATATAGAGTTTGTTTATATTTTGTTAGATTTCTACCTAGGTATTTCGTCTTGGGGGTGCCAATGAAAATGGTGTTTTTAATTTCAAATTCAAATTGTTCATTGCTCTTACACGAGAAAGCAGTTGACTTTTGTACATTAGGGTTGTATCTTGCAACTTTGCTATAATCACTTATTGGCTCAGAGATGTTTTTAAATGAATAATATTCCATACACAGGACTATATAGAAAGCTGATTATATTGCAACACAGTTACCAAAACATAAAAACAACGTTGTGATAAGTAAGATACATGCCTCTTTATTACTACATGAAGTAGCAAGATGTAGTGACAGGTTCAGTAACTACTGTACTTTGGAGGTAGTAATGAGAGTAAATGATATTTCAAGATATGTGCCACATCTGTAATGTCCTATGAAAATATCTATGGCTTCTTTTAGTGGCAAAGTCACAGGTTCTGCTAATAACATCGTGGTATGATTGCTGTTATTGCTTACATTCCTAATGGAAGGAATGTGAAATTGTGGTGACAGGTTAATGAGGATGAAAATGCATCATTTTCCCAGGCATGTTCACTCTTTCCTGAAACATACGGGGAGGGCGATGGTTCACGTACCCCCAACTTAAGCTAGACCTACAGCAGCAGTTACCTGGGATGAAGTGGATCTATATGTGTGGAAATGGAAAAATCCTCCCGCTCTATTACAGAGTGAAAAAAGTAAATTGCTAAACAATACACTTGGTGTGACATACTTGTGTTTAGAAGTACGCACACACGCAAAAGTAATTCAATGGAGAACAGTAGCCTTTTCAACAAAAGGTGCTGGAGCAATTGGACATCCACAGGCCCAAAAAATCAACCTTGACTCGAACCTCACACCTAAAATAAAAAGCACCTCCCAATGGATCATGGACTTAGACGTAAAATATAAAGGTATAGAACTTTTAGGAAAAAATCACGAGAACATTTTCTGGATCCGCGGCTAGATAGAGTTCTTAGACTTGCCAACAAGGGCCCAATCCATAAAAAGAAAAATCGATCAACTGGGCTAACAAAGGACTGGTATCTCTAAGAGATTTAAAACTCTCAAAACCCAACAGTAAAAAATTAACTAATCCAATTGTAAGATGGACAAAAGACAAGAAGGCGAAAGCCTTCATTTCACCAAAGCGGATGCACAGAGGGTAAACAGCACACGAGGAAGTGTTCAATACCACTAGCCAGTAGAGGAACGCAAATTAAAACCACAATGAGATATCATTACCTACCCAGCAGGATGGCTAAAATTGTTTTAAAAAGTAGTGATAGCAAGCGCTTGTGAGGATGCGGAGAATCTGGACCACTCATACACTGTTGGTAAGAGTGCAAATGGTACAGCCACTGTGGAAAAACAGTTGGGCAGTTTCTTAGAAAACTGAACATGCAAATACCATATGACTTAGCAACTGCATTCCTAGATATTTGCCCCAGAGAAATGAAGGCTTATGGTCCCACAGAATCATACACGTGAATGTTTACAGCAGCTCTATTTGCAACAGTCAAAAACTGGGAAACAACCCAGATGTTGTTTAACAGGTGATAGTTAAACAAACTGTAGTATATCCACGCCATCAGCAATTAATAGGAGCAAAGTCTTGATACACACAGCTATCTGGGTAAGTCTCCAAAGAATTATGCTGAGTGAAAAAAGCCCATCCTCAAAGGTGACCTACTGCATGACTCCATTTATAGAGCATTCTGGAAATG